TGTGTGTGTGTGTGTGTGTGTGTGTGTGTGTGTGTGTGTGTGTGTGTGTGTGTGTGTGTGTGTGTGTGTGTGTGTGTGTGTGTGTGTGTGTGTGTCCCTCTCTAAAAGAAAGCACTGCTTCTATTTTTTTTATCCTCTTTTTACCTTATCTTATTTTTTCTGTCCTGGTCACCTCACCTCTTAGCCATGTGCTACATGGATGACTAAAACCCACTCTGGTTCTGCTAATGCTGTAAGGACTTCAAAGTGGAAGCTTTAAATGCTTAAAGCAAGTCAGCCTTTGTCGATAAACACATTGTCGATAAAAACGCAGAGCAAGTATAGGAAGGCAGGATGTGGCTAGTCACTTGTGGTCAGACATTCTCACTTGAATGAGTGTGTGAATCAAGGCACGTGTCCAGACTCAAAGACATTTTCTCTCCTGCTTTTTCTGCCGAGACAGCCCAGAGCAGTGTACTGCAAGGATGTGTTGGACATCGAGCAATTCTCCACAGTGAAAGGGGTAAACCTGGACCAAACAGATGATGATTTCTATTCCAAGTTTTCCACAGGATCCGTATCTATTCCATGGCAGAATGAGGTAAGGGTACACCATGATCATATCGCCCCAATGCAATCTCTAACCCAAAGCTGCTTAAGAGCAGTTGTACGCTTCCAGTAATATATACCCACTGGGTAACGTGCCAGACTCTAATGCATTCATAAGTTACAAATGCACTCTTTCAAGATCTATAAAGTACCACAGATGTCAGGTTCAGGTGACTGTTTCTGCTGATTCTGCATATTTGTGTAAATTGGCAAGGGTCCTTCTGTACTTCCTCCTGCTGGTCTCCATGGAGATGTTCTGATAACTGCTCTAAAGAACTTCTGCGGAATGGATTGCTGCCTTAATGTGGCGCTCTATTTGTGACACTCCTCTCATTCATTATTTTGTATCTGATGGGCCCCAGCTGCGGCATTTAAATCTGGATCTGAACTTTTCTGAAGTGCCAGGGTTTTTGATTGGGGGATTTGTTCTGCCTGCTGTAGAAACAGAGCCAGCAGTAAAGTTCAGATCCAAGTATAAACTTCCCCATAGTTTAGGGGGGCTCATAACTGGCCTTTTGGGTTCAAGCCAATCCGTATTTTATATTCTCCGACATAGAAAAGAAAAACAATGCAAAATTTAATGGGGCATTCTCTTAATAAGACTTATTGGAATAGTGCGGAATCATATACATTAGAGATTGAAGCCATCTGTTCGGTTATATTCCCAGTACAGGTAGGGGCTCAGCCATTGTTCTAACACAATATACTTTCCCCATTCAAACCCTTGATGGCAAAAGATGCTTTTTACACTATATTGATTCCTTGGCGTGCTGACAGCACCTCATGGGAGGTGATGAATATGGTGGGAAAACTGACTAAACTGCCTTGCTGTTTTGAATAGTGAGACTCTTCCTCGAGGTGGCTAAGGTCAGGTCGACTTGGGCTGACAGCATCAGCGGTCAGAACTGCTTAGTTACGGAAGCTCCCAGTGAAACTGAATGTGGTGTTTAGGTTGGGACGTTAACTCTGATTTTCCCACTCTAGGGCCTGAGAGTTATTCAGTTCAATTTAACAAGCCATCAGAAGAGTGTACATCTTCAGACCCATCTCTGCTACTAGAGCCACAGTAAACTGCCTAACAACAATAGCCAGAGAAGTGTCCTGTTGCTGATTGGCCCTTGTTGCGTCCTACACCCTCCTGTCACATCTTGTCCCTCTTTAGTTTGTAAGCTCTTTAGGGAAGGGACTGTCTTTATTTCATGTTTGTACAACACTTAGTATAATGGGGCCCCTGATCCTGATTGGGGCATCTGGAGTCTCTTGTAATATTAATAAATAATAGTAATAATGCATCATCTCTTTTTATTCTTTCTGTGTTTTACCAGATGATAGAAACAGAGTGTTTTAAAGAGCTAAATGTATTTGGACCAAATGGTACTATTTCACCGGACCTAAACAAAAGCTACCCCCCAGAGCCACCCAAGAAAGGATTACTACATAGAATATTTAAACGTCAGGTGAGACCTTAAATGTAACACAAAGAGCCTCTCTGAGCATAGGCGCTGACTCCGTGGGTACTCCGGGGCTGAAGCACCCATGGAGAAAAAATGGTGGGTGCTGAGCATCCACCGACAGCCCCCTATCAACCCCTCCTCCCTCCCTCCTGCCCACCAGCGAGCCCTGACGATCAGCTCCTCCCGCCCACCGCAATTAGCTATTTCACGGCGTGCAGGAGGCTGGGAGGGGAGGGGGGAGGAGCGAGGACACGGCCCACTCGGGGGAGGCGGCAGAAGTGGATGGGAAGAGGCGGGGCAGGGGTGGGGCTTGGGGCAGAGCCAGAAGTCGAGCACCCACCGGCACTTTGGAAAGTCGGCGCCTGTGTCTTTGAGTCCCAATGAACTTTCCTGTATGATATGTATGCTACCCTTATGGTATGTCCATCATGAGAGACGCATGAAATACCAGGCAGGGTTTGTTCTCACCGTTTCCTTGTAATTTTCTACTTGGTGTTGCAGATTCCATATGTTCAGGTGGTTCAAATAAGTGTCTGCACCTAGGAGTTCTTATTTGATTCAGTACTTTCAACTTTCCAAGACCTGGCCATCACTAGTCTGATATTTATCAGGGCTGGTTCCCTCTAAGCTGTTTTTTTTTTATGGAAAATTGGGTTTGTAAGTTGCATGATTTTGTGGGTGAGAGAGAAAATTGTCTGCTTTTCATGGAAAACATCAATTTTTCATTGAATAAACGAATACCCAAAACATAGGAGATGTTGTCCGACCAGGGAGTCAGGCCCATAGAGGAGAATGGGAGCATGAGGCAACTGAAATGCGACTCCTACAAGAGGCACCACAGCAACATTTCCAAATCAAAGTATTTTGGGATTTGGCTGAAATACTTCAGTTTTTGATATTTTGCTGAAAAATCTGAATTTTCTGCAGAAAATAATCCCATTTCCCGACCAGCTCTGTTATTTATCATGTTCCCCTCAACAGGCTGCAGGTAGTTTAGGCTGGAATTTTGCAAGGGCACCTTCTACTCCGGACACTGGTTTCAGTCCCACCCTCAGAGGCTCTTAGTAACCCCTGGCTCAGCACCTTTATCCAACCAAGGGCAGCTCTGCCACCCCTAATGATTCCTTTGTGTCCAGGGCTACTGGGGACTGTCCATGAATAGAACACATGCTACGAATGGTGCATTAGCAATGCTGGCTGCCAGGCTGGGAGAACTAGTCATGCTAATGAACCCAAACCCTGCTGCTTCCCTCCCAAAACAAGCACCTCCTCTGTCTCTCTCCATCTGGCCTCCCTACTGCATGAGTGGTGCTCACGACTGAGACTTGGTTTTCTTATTTTACTGTGTTGCATACACAGCAATGTGTTCTCTTTGCACTGGTGTGTGCTGGGTCCCAATGTGCTATTCCTAACACTCCTTGCTGTGTTAGCTCTGACATACCTACCCACCATCTCTATTTAAGAGTGACAGGCCTTATTTTTAGAAAAATATTGACCATTTTTCCACATAACATTTCGAACCCAGCATATTACACTGGAGTTACAAGGCATGTCTCCCTAAATGTTAGCAGGTATGCTCTGAGGAACTCAAAGCCTAGGAGGCCAGAACTGTTTGTGCTGTATTGAATTGACTCCTCTAATGTGTATCCTCTTCTCTGTTGCTCTGGAGAGCTCCCATGGTTCTTCTGACCCATGAAAAATAAAGACAAGCACGCTAAATAAGTTTTATTTCAGTAAAACTTCACAATGTCACGAGACCAGAAGCAGGCGGGATAATATGACATGGCCAAAATGTGAGGCGTATGGGATGTTATGGGGATATAAATATAATTGTTTTCTCCTTTCTCCAGCATCAAAACAATTCAAAGAGTTCACCGAATTCAAAGGCGAGTTTAAATCACCACATAAATTCAAACCATGTAAGTTCAAACTCTACCGGAAGCAGCTAGTTCGAACTCAACTTTCATGAAACAACGTGTTGCATCCTTCCACTATAATCTATGGAGCTTCTAAGGATGAGAGAGCATCCACCGTTGAGTTAAAAAATAAATGACCTCCCTGCAATGGAGATATTCTATCCATTCCTTCCAGTGGAGCCTCACATTTTATGAAGAAATTTCCACTCAGGTCTGTTTTTGGAGGTGGCACTCAAGATGGTGTGAATCAGATTTGTCTATTTAGAACATTGCAATAGAAATTCAACGAACATGACTACTTGCACGTATTTAAATAGCATCATACTAGAACTGAATTTTGTCTTTATTATTTTTAAAGAAAAGTTTTGTAAATTTCTCTATTGTCTCAGTTTACATTTTGTACATTTGTATTTAAATGAAAGTCAGACTTTGGGGTGTATATTTTCTGAGCAGCAGCTGTAAAGCCATGTGTTTTAAGACTTTTTTTTTAAAGAAATGTGACTCAAGACTTCCAGAGCCTCAAATGAGAAATCATTCTTGTTAGTAAGTGTAGAAAATTATTCATATTTCACTTTATCAAGTTGGTTTTACTGACATGCATTTTTATGGCACAGTTTATTCTTAATTATTTTACATCTGTATATTTGGCTTACAGCAACACTGCATACATTTTTCCTCTTTGTTGGTTTGTAAAGTCTTGTATTAAATGCTATTATACGTAGTCAAGACTTTGCCGCATCTAAGAATACTATTTGCTATGTCTGAGGTTCGTAATGTCATGGGACCAGCACTGTTGAGATTTGCACTTATTTTCGTTGTTAGATCATCACAATATTTATTGTTTTTAATGGAACCCTGTTTTAAGTCCTCCTCCTTTTCAAACTTTTTTTTACTATTGCTAATGAGAGAAAGAACAAATGTTAGCAAGGGGAGCTAAGAAAGACAAGTTGTCATCAGTTCTTCAAAGACCTGAAATCCTTCACCCATTGAAATTAACAGCAAAGCTCCCATTGATTTCAATGATGCAGGATCAGGCCACAAGTGAGAGTTGCTTTTAGTTGCTTATGTCACACAGCTACCAAGAGATTGACTCAATGGCCCTGTCTGTGCTGGCCAGGGAAGCTATAGGGGACAGAACCAAGCCAGGAAGGTTCAGCTCCGGATCTCAACTTTTCTACATCCATTATATCCATTCCAGCCCATGTCTACTTTCAAGTGAGTTGTTCTAGAGCCCTTAGGCTGCATGGCTCCTTTTCTGGCCCCCTCAACCAGTGATGAAATGACTGTCCCACTACAGTTAGCTGAGTTCAGTGCCCAATGTAAAACAGTATAGTTTGCCCTTTTTTGATTCCACAATGCTTCATCTCAGGCCACCCCATATTATTGTTTAAAACAATTGTACCACTGGTATAGATGGGCTCAGTCAGGTTCAATATCCACACTATGAACCAGTTAACAAAAGCATACTATGTGCTAGGAGTGTATCTATTCTCAAACATGCCCTGTAGGACATCAGGTGTCAAACACAGCTTCAGCCATTTCAACTGATATTGGGAAACATTTGACCCACTGGTGTAGACGGAATCTGCTGAATTCAACATTTGCTGTAAAATAGTTTGGTTGACCATGCTTTTTTACAACGGTTGCTGAATTGATTGAGTTTTCCTAAACTTTTGGGACAACTGATGTCTGACATGTCATGTCTAAGAATTAAATGACTACACTAAGGTTAGGCCATGTCTGTGCTGCCCAGGGAAACTGGGTTAGCGTCTTTCTAGCAAGAACTACATGTATGTTTAATTAACCACAAGGAACAAGTTACTTAGGTGGGTTCTGGAATCCCCATCATTGGAGGCTTTTAAGAACAGGTGAGACAAACACCTATCAGGGATGGCCTAGATATATTTAATCCTGCCTCAGTATGGGAGGATAAACTAAATGACTTCTTGAAGTCCCTTCCAGCCCTGCATTTCTATGATTAGACTGGTGTGCACAGGCGCCAACTTTCTAATATGTTCGAAAGGGGTGTTCGAAAGGGGTGTTCGACCCCCGGCTCTGCCCTAGGCCCTGCCCCCACTCCACCCCGTCTTCCAAGGCCCCGTCCTGCCTTTTCCTGCCCCTGTTCCACCCCCACCCCACCTCTTCCCACCCCTTTCTGCCCCTTTCCCTCCAGTGTGCCGCGCCCTCGCTCCTCCTCCCTGTCCCCGCAGCCTCCTGCACGCCACGAAATAGCTGATCGCGGCGGGCGGGAGGCGCAGGAAGGAAGGGGGAGGCACTGATCAGCGGGGCCTGCCGGTGTGCGGTAAACACTGGGGGGCGGGCGGGGCTGATGGGGGCCTGCCGGTAGATGCTCAGCACCCACCATTTTTTCCCTGTGGGTGCTCCAGCCCCGGAGCACCCATGGAGTCAGTGCCTATGCTAGTGTGAAATTGGTTTCCGTGGCCAACGCAGAAAGAGCAACAGAATGCATGAGGTTTCTTACAGGCAAAACCATGAATGATAAGGACTCAAAATAAAGTAAGTTCTAGAACAACTTAAGAACAACTTAAGATCAGTAAGGGACAGAACAAGGTCAGTGCTTTGGTAAATTAGCTGAGTGAGAAAGGAATGGAGATATTGGGCTATGTATGTACGTATTGGGCTGATGTGCGTTTGTCATGGAGTACAGTATGCCAAGAAGCCAAGACATCCCGTAGGGCAACTAATAAGGTTGTGAACTCTCCCAATCACTTGTAGAGATACAGGTAATTAAGACTGTGTTGTAAACAATCCAAAACAGCAATGAAAATTTGTCTCCCTCTTCCTTCTGACTGATGTTCTGGGAAGATGCGGTGGTGCAGAGGGTGTTTACCCCTCACTTATCAATGCAAAGATCAAACAGGCAGAGTGCCAGCAGTTTCACCTGTGTCAGTGATGCCACTGCAGATTTGAGCAGAGATGAAAGAATGTGGAGAAGTGAATGCTGAGAATTTGGACTAATTATGTCTCCAGTTTAGTTGTAATAGTTCCAACTCACTAGTAGGCATGAGACATGAGAAGAGAGAAGTACTGTGTGAGTGAAATTCTCCATTTATGTTCTGACGCAGGCCCACTGAAGTCAGCAGGAATCTATGCACTGACTGTAGTGGGCTTTGTGTTAGGCCCTTAATGCAAAGTTTGCATTCTGTGGATGGCCTTGCATGGGCCGTCTGCATCAGGGTGGATTTCACCCAATTTCAAGAAATGTAGGTGACAATTCGAAGTGCAGCTCTAAGGGGAACCTCAGTTTCTGTGGGGCTTAATGTAGGGCTCACTGTTTCAGTACCAGTGTGTATGAGAAGCTTTGTATGTAGAACTTTACTTGCTTTGCCTAGAATATCCTTACTGGGATACATTTTTTTCAAAGGGAGAGGCTGATGTCCACGTGCCAGAACAACACTCAGATTCATCTGTGTGTGCAGTATGTCAGTGCTCTCTCAAACCGGTTAATTCATAAGCACAAATGCAAAGCAAGGGGAGCGCACTGAGTGGTAGCTAGAGCATGGTCCTAGGTTGTGTTTTCAGTTCTGCTACTCCTTCACTTTGTGGCATTATAGAGGCACCTACCTCCCATTAGAATAATGTGTATAATAATGTTTGCTTGCCGCTTGGGGTGGGGTTGTGAGGCTTAAATCAGGAATATTTGTAAAGTGTGATGAGGCTCTTGGATAAAAGTCATAATAAGAGTCACATATTAATATTCATCATTAAATGTGGGTGAATGCAGAGCGTATGCATGAGGAGCTCATTCCCTACATTTTTAACCATTTGGTCCATGAAGACTCCGTTTTCTTTTTTTGTTATTTTAACGCTTCCCATTTAGATTAGAGATGAAAAACCTAATGACAGTGAACCCTCTCTTGAAGGCTGTTTTGTTAAGGCTAAATGACCAATTAATAACCCTGTCTAGAAGGAACATCATGGGTAGCCACAACACTGCCAGTCAATACCAGTCTTGACCGCCAGTCCTGGGATTCTCCTGAACAGGGCTTGCCTCCTATGTCAAACTGAGCAGTATTTTTTGTTATATATCCCACTCGAGACTAGGCTAAGAACACACTGTGCTCACATTCACTTGTGTGATCCAGTAAAAATTGGAACACCGATTGCTATGGGTGGAACTCTAGTCAATCAATTTGTTACACAACCTAACTCTCCCAAACACATGGAGCCTGATTCTCAGAGGTGGTGAATACTCACAATTCAATCTGAAGTCAATGGGAGCAGTGGGCGTTCAGCACCTCTGAAAACCAGGCCTATAATTTCTTTATACTACTTTGGAGAGAGCATACTGCTAGCAAGAGAGTGTTTAGTACTCTGAATCATAATGAATAGCTTTGAGATGGGTTTACACATGGCAAAAGAATAGAAAGAAATAGTTATTTCATAGTTTTCCAGCACAAGATTCATTTAATCTATTATCTTTCCAGAAAGAACAAAGATCCTTTTGGGAAGTGCACAAGATTAGAGCTGGTTGAATTATTTGTATGAGTAGACTGTTGAGCAAATTTAGCTCTTTAAATGTTTGGAAATCATTTACAAACAGATTCTGAATTCTGCAACTGGATTTATTTTTAAGTCTTCTCCAGATAGGCTGAAAATTATTCATCAGTCTCTGGGTTCTTCATTAACTTTCCAGTTCAATGATTCTTTATGAGTGGTGTGTGGAGTCACATGGCATTTTTTCTGCTTTCTGCTTGGATGATTGAAACTTCTAAAACGTGAAAATAATAGCAAATAAATATTTTTTTGAGTCTGCACATATAACCTTTTTCATGTGAAAATAAGGGTGTTTGTGCACAAACAGCCATTCCGAAGACATGTGTGAACAAAAACCTGTTCATGCAAATGAAAAAACGCACAAAACTGGTCAAACCAAGCAGCCAATAGGAATTCAAATGAACATTAGTGAATACCGTTCTTGCAGTACTGAATCAGGTCTACTTAATATAGATATTAAGAGGAATTTGTTCAATTGACACTCTGTTTTTCATAGAAAATTTGGAATGTCTTTAAGAAATATTTGAAGTCACTTGTGATCATTCCCCTCCCTGGGTAACTATGTCCAATTTCATTGTAAGAAACATGTAGCCAAACTTTGCTGATTGATTGGTGTCTTACCGGATATAGAGTGTGTTTTTTTTTTTCTTCTTCAGAGTATACGTAGAATAGAACACACAAAATCCAGCAGGGACTATTTTTGTTAAGCCAACTCTCACGTTTCCAAGCTAGATCCAACTGGCATCTTTACTTTTCCATCCAAGTCTCAATTTCCAAGCCAGTTGCTATTATCCTTTTCAGTAGAGACGCCTCAGATAAACGTCTGTAGTACAAACAAAATAAGCAGAAACAGGGAGATACAGTATCTATGAACTCGTAAGTACAGTTTGAGAACTAGGTTAGTGTGTGGGTGTGTACACGGGAAAGGTTCTCGTCTTTAAGTTCACAACTTCTTGTTGTTCAAAGTTTGTAAGGCTCCCTCCCACATGTTAAATATATTGATCAAAATGAGATGGCTCATCAGCTGCTCCTGAGCATTCTCTAAGCAGCACTGGAAAAGTTGGACTTCCTCTTTGCTTTGAAAGAATGCCTGGGGCTAGTTTCCAGGCAGGGATCATGTCTTCCTGTGTGTTTGAACCTCACCAGGCCAATGGGACCCAGTCCTGACTGGGGCCTTGGGCTGCTACTTTAATTTAAATAACAACATTAATAAGTGCCTCGTGCACAGGTGCCCATTTCACCAAAACATCACTGGCACGTTTGAAGGCAGTTAAAACTGGGAGGCCAAGGGGTGAATGGACGCAGAGATTGACCTGCCCTCATCCTGGGAGGTGGTCCTGGTCTATCCCAGGCTGGGTTGAGCTCCATTAGCAAGGAAGTGCAAGAGAAGCTGTGGCTAAACAGAGGACACCCTTTTCCAGAGCTGTCACAAGCACTAACTCCACCTATCCTTTAAAAAATAATGATAGCGATGAGTGTCCTTAGGGTAAAGCCAAGCAAACAGGCTTAAATCCTATTCATCCCAAATTCCCAGCTTCCACGTGTCAGGAGGACAGCAACCTCCTTTAGAGATAACAACTAATCGCCTTTATGCAGTGCTGTGAGAGGATGCTTTAAAAAAGGAATCTGCCACCCAATAGCATTCTGTACTAATAACTTCTACTCTGCAGTAGTACAGATATCAGCTGCCATGTTGGGGTCTGTTACTACAGAATACTATCAAATGTTTTTTATAAAGGAAGAGCCACACGCTGAGAAACTCTTAAACAATGTATTACTTACATTGGCAGTGGCAGTAATTTTTGATTTAAGATGATCTCCTTGTGTCTGGCTTGGGTTTCCCCTGTTCGTTTGCTTATATTTGGAGTCAAAAGTGCTCGATTCTATCCCTAGCTTGGCCATTGATTCTCTGTCTTGCCCGTGGCAACAAAATTAACCTCTGCGCATCTCCGTTTCCCTGGGCTTATAAAAGGAGTGATGAAACTTAGCCACCTTTGTAAAGCACTTGGAAGTCTCTAGACAAAAAAAAACAAAAACGTGAAGTATCAATATTAATTGTTTTTTATTTGAATGAATTGAGCCTCATCTAGCAGCTCTTACCTATGTAACTTCAGTGAGACAACTCACGTAAATAAGGGTTCATGATTTTTTTTGAATAGTTTGTCCTAGTTCCTTTGAGATGCTGAGATTTTATGCACTTTGCTTCAGCAGCGAGACCTCCTGCAGAGCAACAGTATAGACTTTGAAGTGTTCGTTTCCTTGTTTCAGAGCTAATCAGTAATAGCAATCATTCAAGATTCTCCCCTTTTTATATTAAAAACAAATATCTATGAGGGAGGGGACAAAAAATAATCACCAGTTAAACTTCAAAATCTCTCTTTGCTTGCTGAACAGTTGTTCCACATGTGACAGAATTCCTAGATACCGAATAATTGAAATGCTGTGTTAAATCAGAATGATGCATGTTGGACAAACGTTGGGAAAACTCAATGGCCCATCTATGAAAACTAAAGAGATTATCACATTTCTAGGATCAAAGGACTTCAAAAGGGAATCCCAGGCCTTCTGGAAATCAAATGGCCCTCAAGGAACCATCACTACCAGGAAAGAAGAAACATGTCAGATAGTGCCTGGATTATAAATGTATTTTCCATTCTTGTCATTCCACAGCTGTTCAGTGTGTTTATTCACCAGTCCATGTGAGTTATATTGTATGTGCTGAGTGCAATCTCCTTTGATTGCACTTCTTTTAAATACTGGACACTCGTCTAAAAGACTCAACTTTTTGCCTTTACTTTGAAGGTGGAGGATGTAAAAACTTCATTTTGCATTTCCAAGCAATGTAGATAGATCTAAAAATTTCATGAACCATCTTGTATTTCCCATATCTGACTAATGATTAAATTGTAAAACTGCAGAGTTTCATATTAAGACTAGTCTTTTCACCTGCTTTGAAAATTAAAATTCACATTTGGTATTAACACACGCACAGTATTCTTCTGATCTAATTTGAAAAGCGTATCCAGGAGTAAATGTTTTTAAGCACTGCTAATACTGTAGTCTCTGTAAGAGGAACAGACACTTCTAAAGAAATGTTGAAGTTGTCTTTCATAATTCAGTCAACAAATCAGTTTTGTAATAAATTAAAGCAAATGTTCTCAGTTAGAAGAACTAGTGGCTGTTGGCATTGTACACACACAAAAAATCATCCTAGTATCCAAAGGGTTTTTTGTTGTTGTTTTATTACAGGGAGATTCTAACATTGTTTTATGGAACTAGTTTCATTTTGAGGTTGTTACTGAAGATAATGGCTTCTGTGTTCTATGGCTGCTTGAATTCTTCGTACATAATGTCTAATAATGTCACAGTGCTGCTGTATCTAGAGATCAAACCACTGTTTTGTTTTGGTTTTGTTTGGGGATTTTTTTAGAAAAATAAATTCTTTAATTTAAATACATTAAAATTACTCATTCTGATCCATTTTCCCTCTATTTTTTATTGGACATAAGCCCATATTGCGCCAGATAATGCTTCAGCTGAAGTCCATGGGAGTGTTACCATTGCTTTCAATGGGAGCAGGATCAAGTTCAGACATTGCTGGGACATCTGCTGCCTTTACATGTTTTATTATCATATTTTTCTGTCACATCACCTCTCCAGCCAGTAGATCTACCATAGGTCAGAATCTTAGGCCTTGTCTACACTGAGGTTATTAGCCAGGGGCAGCTGCATCAGGGTGACCATGGAGTACTGATTGAACCATGACTTGCACTAGTTCAACTGACCTCATCATGTAAACCAGGACTTGAACAAGTGGGGCATGTCTATACTAGAGGTTTGCATTGGTATGGCAAGGCCAGTGTTGCTACCCAGTGACTAACAACTCCTCAGTCGTGCTCGTATTCACAAAGCCTCCAAACAATTACGTGACATGGTCAGCGTGTAACAAGGCAGAATGGCCTAATAAACTGGGCAGGAGACTAGATACAAAGACTTTAAAGAAAGCATCATGACCGTCATCAAGAGCTTTTCTTCACCGCAGTGTTAGCTCAGGGTATCAACACTTGAGTTAACTCCTCTCGAGTAGCTTAAGCATCAGCAGCACTTGAGCACGGGCATCAGGTTAGGGCCAAAACTCAAGCTATCCCTCCAGCTACACTGCAGTGAAGAAAAGGCTGCCCTCCACATGAATCTCCGTCTGGATGGAACCAGGATTCTTAAATTAGATCAGGAGCCAGGAATTCTTAAATTCCCCTATCAGCTCTGCCACTGACTCACTGTGTGGCCATGGACAAGTCATTTAACCTCTCGACTGTGGGTTCACTATATTTGTGAGATGGGCACGATGCTATTCACATATCTCATAGGAATATTGTGAGAATTAATGTGCTTTGGAGCTGCAAAGAGTTGTGTGAGTGCTTATTATTTTATATTATTAAGCACCCTGAAAAGCTGTTACCTTGACAACCTTTGCTGCAAGTGCCTTTTCAAGAGAATTTTCGGGACTTGATTGTACTCTCACTTCTGATTTACTCTTTTGTGAGTGAGAAAAGATTCAGACCCTCTTGTGCTGATTCACCACTACTTTTACACCTTGTGTAGTCAATTGCAACTGTCCCAACTGACTGCAAAGTGGGTGGAACACACTATCAGAATGGTCTGCAATTAATATCAACTTTGCACTGGTGTAACCTACACAAGGTGGAAAAACTGGCCCTTTATCTTCTACTTTTTATTTCACCTCAGAAAGCGTGTATGAGATGTACTGTGGGGAGAATGAGGTCAAATAAAAACTACCAGATGCTCTATGGTACTAAAATCTTTAAAAGGAATAGGATCGTGGAATAGGGCGACCAGACAGCAAGTGTGAAAAATCGGGACGGGGTGGCGGGTAATAGGAGCCTATATAAGAAAAAGACCCAAAAATTGGGACATCTGGTCACCCTATTGTGGAACAAGATCCCACATTAAATTGCATGACTGGCCAAAGATACAAAGGACAGTGGTTGCATTCAAGAATGAAGGGACATTCTGATTTGTGTCATGAAATTTCACACTCTCACAAAGAGAGCTGGCCAAATTTGTTTCCCACTTCCTTTTCATAGGATATGAGGGTTGGAAGGGACCTCAGGAGATCATCTAGTCCAACCCCCTGCTCAAAGCAGGACCAATCCCCAAACAGATGTTTTGCCCTGATCCCTAAATGACCCCCTCAAGGATTGAACATACAACGCTGGGTTTAGCAGACCAATGCTCAAACCACTGAGCTATCCCTCCTGATGCGCCATACAAACTCCCAGCAAACACCACTGCTGCAACCTCACAAGTTTAAGGGACCTTAAAATGGGCATGATAGTTCCCAGAGGAGGGGACAGTGTGGGTGATAAAGAGGCTCACAGAGAAAGATTTTATTTAAACTTCATCATGATGTGTTTTATGAGCCCTACAAATCTCTGGCCTTGCTTAAATGTCCATTGATTGGGGAGGGACTGTTTGTAGGCAGAAAAATCAAAATACACTTTTCACTGGCATGCACTTCGTGCATCTAAAGTGGAATTTTGCATTCAGCTGCATCCAGTAAACTTTGCAAACAAGTTGCCACCCAGCAAAATGAATTTTTTCTTGTATTTTCCAGCTTCTTTTCTTTAAAAAAAAAAATTGTAAAAAGGTGTAAAGAAAAACTGAGAGCCTGCTGATGGCAAACAGTGTTTGCACCAAGTACCAGGAAAGAATTCCTCAAGAGCAGTTTATCTAGCAGAGAAAAGTATAACATGCTCCAATGGCCAGAAGGTGAAGCTAGATACATTCAGATTGGAAATAAGGCATATGAACAGTGAGAATAAGTAACCATTGAAACAATTTACCAGGGGCGTGGCGGAGTCTCCATCACAGAGAAAGTTTTAATCAAGATTGGAAGCTTTTTAAAAAAGGCCCTGTTCTAGGAATGATTTTGAAGAAGTTCTGTGGCCCGGTCGTACAAGAGGTCACACTAGACTAGAGGATCACAGTAGTCGCTTCTGGCCTGGGAGTCTATAAAACTGAGTAAAAGTAGCAGCCTTGTCAAACTGCCAAGCTCAGTGAAATGTAAGGTGCTCATCTGGGTAAATTCAGGTTCTGCAGATTTACATTGACACTGACCTGCTCACATACATTCAACCAACTGTCCTGCAATTATAAAAAGTTTAGAGGTCATGTGTCATTTGATCGTTTCAGTAAATTCCTTGGGTTGTTTTATGTTTTCCCACTGCTAACCTTTCCTGGAATTTTCCTAATATACCAGGCAAGTTTCTCTCCAGCTACGTATAGACCATTGGCAGAATACCCTCATCACTCACATGATTTAAAAAGAAAGAAATTAAATTAAATTATAATGGTTAATGCCCAGAAAGAGCTTTGGCAGTGGAAAGTATTACATAAGGCCCAGATCACAAGGGGCTGCCCAGATGGAGTCAGTCACAAGCTTGGGGACTCAATTATTCTGCTTATTTTTTTATAGGTGGCACATGATTAAGTTCAAAATAATGTTTAATGGCCTAAGGGTTTTAACTCATTTTCCCCTCACGAGAATAAGTAGAATAATATTTATTAGTAACATTCACCACTGTACTATGCTTTACCTGACAAACTCGAAAGAGAAATGCTAGAAGTCTTAGCTTGGAAGCATTAAATAGGCTATAGATCAGGGGTCTCAAACTCAAATGACCACAAGGGCCACTTGAGGACTAGTGCATTGGCCCGAGGGCCGCATCACTGACACTCTCCCTCGCTGGCCCCGGCTCCACCCCCACTCCGCCCCTTCCATGAGGTCCCGCCCCTGCCCCGTCTCTTCTCCCCCTCCCCCGAGCGTGCTCCTCCCCCCCTCCCTCCTGGAAAGTGCTAAGCATTATACAGAGCATACAGATCACTGCTGCTCCTACAACAAGTCATTTCCAAGTGGGTTTTAATAAAATATATACAATCAGTAATGCACCTCACTCAAAGGACAAAACATGCACTTAGTTAGATTTACTTCTGTTAACCTTCCTCCCCCCCACACACACACTGCACTGGGCTGCACCACCACTCCAC